AGTATTGTCCAATGTTGGTGTATAGTTCCCCCTCAAGTCCCCCCTCACAACAGTCTTTGTTCTTCTCTTCAATTGGAGTATTTACTGGTTTTGATCCAAGTTTCCATGTCACTTAAAAGATCAAGTGTGTACTTTATTTGAGACAGGAATAATCCATCAGAACAACAGAGTTCTATGTAAAAAAGTACTTTAGTTCATCCATATCTTTAATCTCAAAAGCAGTTTTGAGGAAAGACTTGGTACTTTGAATTCCCTTTTTATCAGAAACAGTAATAATAATGTCATCAACATAAATAAAGACGACGACAATAATTGTTTCCCCCTAAATTATGAATAGTGAATGATCAGTTTGGGACTTTCAAAAAACAACGCCTAATAAGAATTTAACTTAGCCTGTGGTACCAAGAAGGTGGTGATTGTTTGAGTCCATAATTAGCCTTTCGTAATTTTAATACTTTGTCATCCTCAACTTCAATACCAGAGGGCGGAAGCATATAAACTTCTCCTTCAAGTTCTCCTTGAAGAAAAGCGTTCTTCAAGTTCATCTGTCATAAATCTCAAGATATATTAGTTGCCAGTGAAAGAGCAACTCGTACCATATAGAGTTTTGCAACGGGAGCTCATCTTATTCAAGCTTAGTGTTCTCTTTCTAACTTACCCACATATCATCAAACCTTTTTTTAGCAAAATTGACCATCAAACTGTGCCACAGACTTATGAAGAGGCAAAGGAGAGCGAGGTCTGGACAGCAGCAGTAGAAGAGGAACGTGGAGTCATGAAAAAGAACCATATGTGGGATGTGACAAATTTTCCAAAAGGAAAAAAAAATCAATTGGCCTCAAAATGGTGTTCACCATAAATAGCACATCAACGGTGAAATAGAAAAGCACACGACTCACCTTGTTTCTAAGGAGTTCACTCAAACATATGTAGAAGACTATATAGACACATTTGTTGTACGTCTAACCGTAGACTTCTTTCTGAACAAATTATTTAAAATATAAGTGTACTTTGATAAATTCCCCTTAATAAATGTCAAAATAACTTAAATTTCCCTATTTATGCAAGTTTGTGTACACAGGTTAATATATATATTTAACACGTTTGCAGTAATATTTTAAACGTGTTGCAGTAATATTTTAACTTAATATTCCGTTTTTAGATGATATAAACATATTACTAACAATATATTTTGCATTAATTTGATTTATTATTATTGATCATTTTAATAATATCCAATAAAGTTTCAATAATCATTTAAAAAAAAAAAATATTTATCAACCCTGACACCTAAATCAACACAACAATAACACTAAAGTCTCTGCATGGCTTGACACCTCAGCTTTTTGAAGCTTTATAAACATGACACTACAGCAAAAATAATCACCAATCAAAACATTTTATTAATACATCTCATCTACTTATTTTAATTCTTAAACTTAAACCCATTGAAAATCCAAATATTTTTTTATTAATTTTTGTTTTATTTTTTACCAAACCCAAGCCCAAATAATTAATACCAGTAAATAAAAAATTATTATTTTATTTTTTGTCAAATCCAAACCTAAATAATAAATAAAAAATAAAAAAAATTAATCGTTGTTTTTTTGCCAAAACCAAATCCAAATAATAAATAACAACAAATAAATAATAATAAAAACATAACAATTTCTTAATTTTCGCGGGAAAACACAATTTCACGGGAGATAATGCAATTTTTGGCTTTCGCGGGAAATTGTAGTTTATTTTTTTTGTAAAAAAGCGTGATTCTTGGCTTTTTTTTTGTTTTCTCGGAAAATATTTTTTTTTTTGTTTTGGCAGGAATAGACGATTTCTCAGTTTTCGCAGGAAAAATAAAATTTTCGATTTTGGCGGGAAAATACAATTTTTTTTTGTTTTTGCACGAAGATGAAATTTATTGGTTTTTGTGCAAAACGTAATTTCTCGATTTTGGTGAAAAAACACAGATTCTCGCGGGAAAATGAAATTTTAGGTTTCAGGTTTGAAAAGAAAATGATTTTTTTTTGTTTTGGCGGAAATAGGTGATTTCTCAGTTTAATGGGAAAATAAAATTTTTTGTTTTGACGGAAATGTGATTTTTCGAATTTGTAAGAAGATAAAATTTCTCTGTGCTAAATTTTTCAAGTTAAAGTATGTTTATAGTAACCAAAATTTAATTATTTAATTTTAACTAAAATGATATTTTAAGAGTTCAAACATAATTTTCTATTTAGTTCTAAAGCAATAGCAAAGGTTTTGGTATGAATGTTATTGATTATAGTTTGGTAGTTTTAGAAACATATGTTTATAATAAAATATTTGATAAATAAATAAATTTTATAATTCAAAATAATTATATTAATTAATAAATATTTTTTTAAATGGTATTTTGCTTTATATAATTACAAAGAATGATTAAATGGCAGTTTAATAGAGAAAATAGATTACATTTACCATTAGTATGAAGGTACTAAAAATGTATTGCTTTATTTTTGTATATTTTATTCCTATATATACATTTGTAATTAGTTAGCTAACTAAATTTAATAGCAAATTATAATTTTAAAAAATAAAAAGTATATAATGTTTATTCAGATTTAAACATATAAATATATAACTTAAACTAATAGAAAAATATAATACTTATTTACATGATAATAATAATTTTATTATATTAAATATATATAAAATTTAGAAAAATATCCCGCAGCATATAACTTTGACCAAGTTTATTATTTAAATAGAATTTTTACAATATGTTACTCATGTGTTTTTCATGTTGGATGAGATATAAGTAGTAGCTATGTATAAAAATCAGATTTTATTATTTGTTATATTTCAAACGTAAAATTACTTTTATAGTGTTTTTCTTTATTAGTTTTTGAACCAGATGCAGCCAAGATATTAGTTTTTGCAAATTTAAATAATATGTTTGATTAAAAAACTTGTACAACCTAATGCAACTTTAGATGGTCATTCCTAGTTAATACTAATACTTTAGAAACAAGTTTCAAATAAATTTTTTCTAATTTTTTTTTACTACTTTACATCTTTTGATAATAATTTTGTATTTTATCACGTTTTTTTTTGCATGTTTGATATACTTAATATATATATATATATATTCTTTTGTAATTTATTTTCCATATATGGAATAAATATATCGATTTAATTTCTTTTTATAAATGTTTTTCTTTATTAAATTTGTTTTTTCATGCTTATTTTTATTTTAATTATAATGCTGATTTGACATGATATAACAGGTCATTCTAAATTTTATATCGACTTTTTCAAAAGCTTATAGAATTAAAAATAATTTTGTTGATTTTTTAAAACGTTAGCCAAAATTATCAACTTAATTTTATTTTATTCGACTTTTTGCTTTTGATCATTTATCTCTCTTTGTATTGATTTCTATTTTATTTTGACATCTAAATTTTTGAAAATATTGATATTTTTGAAGATATAATTCAATTTTTTTTTAGTTAAACTTTTCTATGTTGATGTCTTAAATAGTTAGTTAGATATCAAGTAATTTCGTTTTAAGTGATTTGTTTTTATTTTAAAATTTTATAAAACATAATTTTCTTTTATATATTTTGTTATTCTTATATAGTTAGCTTAAATCTTTATCTTCTTATTTGTTAGTTAAGTTTTTATATTATTTAAATTTTTATTTCTCTTACTTAAACTTGTTTATATAGATTTTGTTAAATAATTAGTATAGATATCTATTTAATTTCCTTTTGAATATTTGTTCTTTGTTAGTCTAAATTTTTTGATATTTATTTTCATTTTAATTGTACTGAGATTTTGTAAGAAATATTTCTTTCAAAAAAATTGATTAGTTTGTAAATTATTATTTTTTGGGTTATTCATCAAATTCTCCCTTTATTTTTATCAACTATGACACCTGGATTTTATTATAAAAACAGCAACTTGTTTCAAATAGTGGAAAATACATCATTCTTATCCCTATATTAGTTCTTCTTATAAAATAAGAGCTACAAATCATAATGAAAAAATACTAGTTTTTGTTAGTATAACATTATTATTATACCAAAATATCTTCTAACATTAATTTTTGGTTTAATAATACTAACAAAAACTAGTATTTCATATCTAGCATTTCTATTCTAATATTGATTTTCCGACATCTAACAAACTTAAATCTACAAATCTTCTAACAGTGATATTTTTTTTCTTATATATATATATATATATATATCGTCTTCTTTCATTAGAATAAAGGACATTAAAACAAATATTTGTTGTATCCTTTAAAATATAACTAATGGAAACCAAAAAAAATCCATCTCTTTTGTTATATTTGTTAATGGTGTTTTCTCTCATTTCTCTGCCCATGATTTCAGGTAACTATTTGTTTAGCATCAGAACAAAAAGAAAACAGATTTTGATCAAAATTCTCTTAAAAGATTTATACGTTTCGGGGTTGAGTCAAAATCACTAGGTCCCGAAGCTTGTGTTAGTATTTGCATATTCACATGTTAAAATATCAACGGATCGTTTTTATACTCATATATCTTGTTAATGTGTATGTTTATGAACTGTAGGACAAATTTGCCTAAAGGGATGTGCAAGCGCAGCAGAGTGCGATGGAGACTGCCAATCTATGCATTACGAAAAAGGGACCTGTATGACACACTTTACTAGTGGCATTATCTGTTGCTGCGACACTAAGTTGAAATCTCAAGTTGCTTCTCCTATATTCAGTCCTAATTAATACTTAATTTAACTGATTTTATACGTAATATTAATTATATGAATGAAAAACATATATATAAATATGATTGATATACATTTTCTCATCCCATTAATCTTTTTTGTGTGCAACTATCTCATCCCAATGATCAAAATTGTTAGTTCATAATGAAATCAAGCTAACAGAAACAATAAAAGCCACAAGAGAGAACAAAAGAAAAAAAAACAAGAGCACTGAAATCAAACTTTTACAAATAGGATATTTCGTAATCGCATGGGACAAATTTGCCTAATTACAAACACGAAGGTATTATGAAGAAATTCTGGAGAGGGGCCCAACTAATTCCTTTTATAAGAGGATTTTCCAAGACAGTATAAGTTTTGTGACATATAGAAACATCAAATTCAGAATTTATCTCTTTTATCCCTATGGGTCATGCTTTCATTTCACTCTTACCAATGTGTCGAGTCACAAACGCTAGAAAAACAACAGACCAAAACATCGTCAATGGACAAAGCTTTAAAGTTTTTAACCAATAGAATTACAACAATCATTAGATGTCCCTACGGTGTTTTGCTCATTCTTTTCTGTTTCCTTAAAGACCTCACTACCATCTCGGTCAACTGCTTGGCCATCATCGATGTGACTTACTGCTACTGCTTCGGCTGTTGACTGGGACTCTGGTTGAGTCGAAGCTTCTACATTAGAGTTCTCCATGGAAGAGACAATCTGTGGCCTTTGATGGGACCGGTCTAGAGAAGATTTTGGGATAAGAGAGAGGCGGCAAAGAGGGCAAGTTGTGTGTAAAGTGAGCCAAATATCAATACAGTCCATGTGAAAAGTGTGCCCACATGCTGGGATTTGTTGAAGCTTCTCACCTGCTTGGTAGTCCCCAAGGCACACTGAACATCTGTATAATCAAGTCAAAGGTCAAATCAGGTGATTCTCAATTCTACTTTCTTATGTTTTTGGCTCTTCAAACAGACAAAGAAACAAACAATATAGTTTTGTTAGTTTTCTTAATGAGCTAATATTCCCATGTTATGAGGCCAGTAAATGTCTGAGAATAAAGGATACTTCCAAATTATACAATCAAGAAAGTTATACAAACCACAAACTCATAAGAACTATTCTTAATCACTCAAATCTGCAAACCAAAACTGGACCATTGGGTCTTGGAAGAGATCATGATCTCGTTATTGCTCAATCCGAAAAAGAAACTATGAAAATTTTAAAGCCTAATGTAGATACGTAACGGTTTCCGGTTACGATTCAATTTAGACCAAGAAGATACTTTATCCATTCCCCAATCACAAGTTCGTAAGGGACACGTAACTAGTTATCACACGATGGATAGAATAAATCCCTCCCAAAAGCAAACAAAAAACAAAAAATCTCAACTTTGCTTCTTGTTCCCATTTTTCACTTTGGCTTAAATTTAATTCATATCACGTACCACAAGTCCACAACTGTCATGAACTTTAAATCATTAAACTTTTCCATGAGATAACCTTTTTAAAAATATCTGAGTCAAGGTCATGAATTCAGAGAAAAAGAAACTATCAATGAACAAAGAAGAAAAAGAAAAGAATATGAAAACTCACGATGAATCATTGATTGAGAAACTCTCTTTGTAGATAACAATGGGAAGCATCTCTCTCAATTCTCTGCTCAGCCCTAATTCAGCCTGTTCATATTTGATCCAACAAATCGTTACCGAACAAACGTTATATCAAATGTTGTAAGAAACAAATTGGAAAGGAGAGAACAAAAAAAAACCATCAAAGCAGAAAGAAGAAGAAGAAAGACAACTAAACCAAAACAATCTACAAAGACATTAGCCTAATAGTTAATTCTAGTCTTCTCGATGTGTCAGTGTCACCACCCGAATATAAATCGGGAATAATGCATGTTGTTGAAAATAAAATAAATATAAAAAAAAACGAAAAAAGAACCCAAAACTCATAAAAATTGGGTTCTTACCATTGAAAGATTGTTGGTGTAGGCGAAGCTACCACCACCACGCATTCCAAGAGAAGACCAATCAACACTGCTGTTTCTTCGACGAAGGTAAAGAACATAGAAGACAAAGAGGACGATGAATGTGAAGCAAATGGGAATGGAGAAGAGGAAAGCTTGGTAAATTTTGAGTTTTTGCACAGCTTCGATAGAGTTCCTGTCGTTGGTCGGTGGAAATGGGTTATCAATTGGGTCGCTGTAAGACATCTCAAGAATCGAAAAATAGACAAACCCACAAAAAAAATGTCTGAAGAAAGTGAAGAACCAAGATAAGAGAGAGAATCTCAAGATTCGGAAATCGGAGGTGGAAGCGATGGTGATAAGATGAAAGAGAGAGAGAGAGAGAGGTGGGAAAGTTTCAGGTGAAGTCTTCAGGTGTCAGTAAAAGCCATCTGTTTGTAAAAGCTATTTATTTCTTTATAGAGGAACATGTCAGAACAAAATGAATTAAATTATAAAATTGGATAGAAACAAAATATTAGATATGGTTATAAAAGTTAGGAGGAAATATTTTTATCCTAATATAGATAATTAGCTGGAGTTTATACACACACTTAGCATGTATAGAAACGGTTGAAACTTGGGGAAATTGCTGAATATGACTCAAAATTTGAGTTTAAATGCAAAACTAGATTTCTTATTGCATGTTTGACAAAAATAACTCACAAGGGTTATGAAATTACAACATTAACCCTTCTGATCAAACAAAAAAAACGCCGTCGCAATTACTGTTTTATCCCCGAGAAGTCTACTCTATAATAGTTTGTTTACAATTAATTTTAAAAATCATGAAAAATATTTTGATAAAAAGATTAGATCCATAACATAAATATATATATTTTTACACCTATTAAAAATAAAAATTGACACAAAATAATCAATTTAAATCATCATAAATAAATTAGGTTAGAAATGAATACTAAGTAGAATTCTTGAGTAGACTTCTCGGTTTCTCGAGTAGACTTCTCGAGTAGACTTCTTGGAGAAGTCTACTTACACGAATTTTTTTCTACATATATAAGGAGAGTTTAACCTAATTGTATTAACAATAAAGTCTCTCTCTATCTAAAAAACGTCTCTCTCTCTTCTCTCTTCTCTCTGGCCATGGATTTCTTCTCCTTCCTCTTTTGCTATCAATATCCTCTCCATCCTCTCTATCTTGCATTCAACCTCCTCTCACTTGCAGGTTATGGTAGTGGTAAGCAAATCTGAGATTTTGTGTTCCTCCTTTTGTTTGCTTTGTGTTCATATTGCAAATATGAGCTTATTATTATAGATTTGAGCTTATTGTTGTAGATCTAAGTTTATTTTTGTAGATCTGAGTTTATTGTTGTATAAATTTTGTAGATTTTGTTAATTTTTTGTTATTATTGCAGAGCTGATTTTTTTGATTTTTGTACAGATCTGAATGTTATAAATATAGTAGATTATTATTATAGATCCGAGCTTATTAGTTTAGATTTGAGCTTATTGTTGTAGATCTAGGTTTATATTTGTAGATCTGAGTTTATTGTTGTATAAATTTTATAGATTTTGTTCTAGATCTAAATTTTTTGTTATTGGTACAGAGCTAAATTTTGTTGATTTTTTTGCAGATCTGAATGTAGACTTCTCGAGTAGACTTCTTGATATTGAGCAGACTTCTAGAGTAGACTTCTCGATCTCGAGTAGACTTCTCAAGCAGACTTCAGTTGCATACATAATTTTCAGAGATTTTAGTTTACTAGTAATTTCTTATGTCAGTTTTAAGATTTATAATTAGTGATCCTTAAATGTTTGTTTGTTTAGAGGGTTATTTTCTATGTAATATTGAATTGCATTGAATGTTTTGTATCAAATTCATAAATTATCTATGTTTATCTATTCTACAAAATAGACTTCTCCTGTCTCGAGTAGACTTCTTAAAGACATTAATTTTACATAACTTATAAGTGATTCAGAGGGACATTTCTCCCATTTATATCATATAACTTGTCAACCGAGTAGACTTCTCTTGTCTCGAGTAGACTTCTCCTGTCTCGAGTAGACTTCTAAAAGACTTTAATTGTACCGGGTAGACTTCTCTTGTCTCGAGTAGACTTCTCCTGTCTCGAGTAGACTTCTAAAAGACATTAATTTTACATAACTTAAAAGTGATTCAGAGGGACATTTCTCTCATTTATATCATGTAACTTGTCAACCGAGTAGACTTCTCTTGTCTCGAGTAGACTTCTGAAGTAGACTTCTCATTGTCTCGAGTAGACTTCTTAAAGACATTAATTTTACATAACTTAAAGGTGACAACATTCGCCCTCCTTTGCTATTCGCCTTCCTTTGCCAACATTCACCAAGAAGCTCACCATGTGTGCAACCATCTCTTAAGAACAACATTCGCCCTTCTTTGCTATTATCCACCTCGAACTGCCACATTGATTCACTCTTAACCCATTCTCCATAAACATCGGGTATGTGAGTCATTCTCTATGAAAAAGAACAAAATCCAAACCACATTAGACATCAAAATTGCATAAGTAGACTTCTCTGAAAGTCGGATGAAGTCTATATAGTAGACTTCTAGAGTAGACTAAGAAGTCTACTCTTAATAAGCTAAGTTTCATATAAAACATGAAAACTCATTCGACTATACCTATAATATATAAACATGCAAAACTTATACATAAGCAAGAAAACTTAATAACAAAAGCTTAGGATCACGAAAATCTTAAAATTTCGTTATATATTGTATAAAAATGATTTTTTAAAAAAAACAAGAAAAGTAGACTTCTCGGATAAAAGTAGACTTCTCGTAGGTTAGTTTTGCAATTGCCAAAATATTAGTAGACTTCTCTATGAAAAGTAGACTTCTCAGAGAAGTCTACTTTCGTAAGTAGACTTCTCGCAGGTCATTTTTGCAATTGCAAAATATTTGACTTTTTGGTCAATTGCAAAAATGACATGCGAGAAGTCTACTTACGAAAGTAGACTTCTCGGAGAAGTCTACTCTGAAAAGTAGACTTCTCAGAGAAGTCTACTTTGCATAGAGAAGTCTACTCTACAAAGTCAAAGGTTGGTCAATTGCAAAAATGACCTGCTTCTAAAGAAGTCTACTCGAGAAGTCTACTCCATTTTTTTGTTATCAAAGGAAATGGAGTAGACTTCATTCGGACCAAAAGAAGTCTACTTTTTCATGCGGTCAATTGCAAAACTAACATGGGCGTTGACTAGTAGACTTCATTCGGACCGAGAGAAGTCTACTTTCAGAGGATTATCGTAAATACGTAAGGAAGATGAGGATTAATTGGTCATTTGGATTTCCAAAAATAAAAGAAATTAATTAAAAATAATGACAATTTCGTAAATAACTGAAACTATGAAGGATTGTTTGACACAAAATAGCAAATGTTGGAAAGGTGATTTTTGTGGGTTAGATTTGCAATTCAAATAAAATTTTAGGTCATTTTTGCAAGAATCCTTTGAAACTTAGCCATGCCCATTAAATAGATGCTCTTTCATTCACAATTCACACGGGTATTAACCAATTGAAAACAAAATGTACATACATGTTCGGTTATTTTTGTTTCTATTTCATTTTTCCTTTTCCTAATACATTTTTTGGCTTTATATAAATTATTTTACTAAGAACAATTGGAGGGCTGTAATTATCTCGCTGGAACTCGAAAAAATGGAAACATATTACAAAAACCCATAACTAGGTACTCCATTGTAATTTAAGAGAAATAAGTACATAATAAATTCTTCAAAATAAGTATTTATTGGATTTTCGAACCGTTGTAAGAAGTAAAATCAGAGATGAATGTACATTGATGTATACAGGGTGATATGAGAAAGGAGAGCCTTTAACTATTTTTTTGTTTAATAATTTTACTAATCTGATTGTATTAAATGAACGTGATTATCTATTTATTTTGTCATTATTGATCTCACCGACTTAATAATTATATAAATATAGTTATAACTCTTTTGTAAACAAGGTACGAGTACTAAGAAGAATTAACTTCTTTTTTATTATTCACATCTCTCTCATATCACCCTCTCTCACTTTTAACAAACATATAGAATACAATATCTTAACTATTATTTGAGAAGCATGTTTAATGAAAAGATCTGATATGTCATCACATTAGTAAATGTTAGTGCAAAACAATGTCACCTCATAAATAAATGTGACATGACAAATTTCCTAAAATAAACGAAATGTTTTGATTGGTTAAGTTAAAACTAAATAAATCTCATTTTTAAATAAGAAATATTTATATCATATATGAATGAATTCTCATTATATAGCAAGAATTCAAAATTATAAATAAAACAAAAAATAAACATATAAAAAAATAAATTATAAGTATTCTGTAAGCTAACTTTTTTTATCATAATACTGTATATATGAATAAAAAATAGAAGTAAAGTAAAAATAAATCTACGACTTTGGTTTTATGTAAAAATCTCATGCTATATTTTTGGGTTTAAAGTATTTTCAACCTACTTTTATTTTAAATCTTCTAATTTAGAGGAAAAAGAAAGGTTGTTATTTTTTTTTCCAATTATAGAGGAAAAAATGTTAATATTTGTTTCCCTGTTAAATCAAAATATGTTAGAGAGACGTCCACTTATATTTTAGAGAAAAAAATAAAAAAATACATTGGAGATGATCTTAATGTTTAATATATTATTAAATGTTAAGAAAAAAGTATGAGTCAAGTAAGAGAAAAAAAAGAAAGAATAATTTTGATCGATTTTAAGTTTTTAATTGATATATTTCAAAATATTATCTTTCACATATTAATTCTTTGATGCATATATATTTTCTAACATATTAAAACTTTATTTCATGAATCAAGTTTTGTATATGTTGTGATCCATTATAATTTATATTAACAAATATATTAAAGTTAGAAACAGAGCAACTCTTAATTTTTAATAACAATTAAATATTAAATATATTATTTTATACCTTAAATCATACACACATAATTTTAGATCTGATTGGTTTAAGTGATCCGGTTACAGAGAGTTTGTGGAAAGCAGCGATTGCGGATTATAAAAAGTTTGACGAAGAGATGAGCGAAGAGCTACCAGAGAATTTTTATAAAATATGATTTTACAAATTTTATAATAATTTTTTATTATATTTTTATTGAGAAATCAAATATCATCAAACGCTGAAAAATAAGAAACTTTGATAAAATAAAAAGGATAGAAACGATTTTCATGATTGTTGTTAAATGCCAATAACTGAACCGTACAAAAACATAACATTTGTGAAAAATACCAGAAAAAACTTACCAATATCTTAATATTACAATTCACTTATTTCTAACTCATACATATATGTATCAATATACTTACTATTATTTTTTTTAAATCAACCATACATTATAAAAATATAGATTACAAAACA